CAACCCAATTAAAAAATGGGGAGAAGACCTAAATAGACATCTCACCAAAGAAGACATATGACTGGCCAAGAGGCACATGAAAGATTCTCAACTTCACTGATTATTAGAGAAATGCAAATCAAAACTACAATGAGGTATCACCTCATACTGGTCAGAATGGCCATCATCAAAATGTCTACAAACAATAAATGCTGGTGAGGGGGTAGAGAAAAGGGCACCCTCTTGCACTGTTGGTGGGAATGTAAATTGATACAGCCACTATGGAGAAGAGTATGGAGGTTCCTTAAAAAACTTAAAATAGAACTACCATAGGACCCAGCAATCCCACTACTGGGCATATACCCTGAGAAAACCATAATTCAAAAGGACACATGTACCCCAATGTATATTGCAGCACTATTTACAGTAGCCAGGACATGGAAACAACCTAAATGTCCAACGGTAGATGAATGGATAAAGAAGATGTGGTACATATATACAATGGAACAGTACTCAGCCATAAAATGGAACACAATTGGGTCATTTGTAGAGATGTGGATGGACCTATAGTCTGTCATACAGAGTGAAATAAACCAGAAAGAGACAGACAAATATCGTATATTAACGCATATAGGTGGAATCTAGAAAAATGGTACAGATGAACCTATTTGTAGGGCAGGAGTAAAGACGTAGACATAGAGAACGGACATGTGGACACAGTGGGGGAAGGGGAGGGTGGGATGAACTGGGAGATTAGGTTTGACATAAATACACTGCCATGTGTAAAACAGATAGCTAGTGGGAACCTGCTGTATAGCACAGGGAGCCCAGCTAGGTGCTCTGTGACGACCTAGATGGGTGGGATGGGGGTGGTGGGAGGGAGATCCAAGAGGGAGGAGATATAGGTATACATATAGCTGATTCACTTCATTGTACAGCAGATCTAACACAACACTGTAAAGCAATTATACTCTAATAAAAAAGTAAAAAATTAAATAAATTGTTAGAAAAATAATGATTTTTATAAGATAATTGGAAATGTGAACACTGAATAGACATTGCATAATAAAAAAAGAAAAGGCAGGGTAAAGAGAAAGACTAAAATAGGATGTTCAAATTAATTCAATAAATCAGTAATAATAATAAAAAAATATAAATGGGCCAAACTTACTAGTTTAAAGAGAGATATCTCACATTAGATTAAAAGCAAAGAAACAAATCTGCCTACATGTTATTATAAGAGAAACACTTAATAAAAATACAGGAAGGTTGATGGCAAAAGGAAGTAAAAAAGATAAACCAGGTAAATATTAACCAAAAGAAAGGTAGTGTAGCTATATTAAGATGAGACAAAATAAATTTTAAGGCAAAGAACAATGTTAGAAATAAAGAGAGTTTCCACAAAATGATTTTTTTTAAAAGGTCACCAGGAAGAAACAATAATTCTAAACTTCTAAGAATCTAGTAGATTCTTAGACTGGCCTCAAAATACATAAAAGCAAAAACTGACAGACTTCCTAGAATAATCAAGCTCACAATCATGAAGTGTGATTTTTTAAAACCACTCTATTATATAGTAAGATTCATTATGGCTTTTATCTGTCTCCTTGCCAACACTCCTCTCTAGAATATAATCTTAAAATGTATCATCTTTCTCTGTTTTATTCAAGATGTATTTTAAGTATATGCCAGTGCCTGGCATGTAACAGCTGCCTAATATATACTTGTTAAGTTTTTTTTTTTTTGCTGTACGCGGGCCTCTCACTGTTGTGGCCTCTCCCATTGTGGAGCACAGGCTCCGGATGCGCAGGCTCAGCAGCGCATGGCTCACGGGCCCAGCCGCTCTGTGGCATGTGGGATCTTCCTGGACCGGGGCACGAACCCGTGTCCCCTGCATCGGCAGGCGGACTGTCAACCACTGTGCCACCAGGGAAGCCCAAGTTTTTTCATTAATAAATATTTTAAAAGATAGTAACTATAGAGATTGGATAATATAATTAACAAGTATAATCCAAAGAACTCTCATGGAACCCTATACTCCTAAATCAATAGATTCTTCTCAAGCATACATGAAATATTTATGAAATTTCACCATGTGCTAGAACATATTCTCTGACTACAATACAATTAAGTTAGAAACCAACAACAAAACAATAAAATTCCATGCACTATAAAATATAAAACACAATCCTAAACAACTCAAAGAAAAAATCATAATGAAGATTATGGAAACAGAAGATCGGAGCAAACAGAACTTAATGATAACAAAAGTATTACATTACAAAGTTTGTGGTGAGCAGCAAAAAAATATGTAGGGGCAAATCTATACATTTATATGCATATATAGGAAAACAATTGATGAGCTACACATCTAAATTAAGAAGTTAGGAAAAAAGAGCTACAAAGTAAACACAAAATACAAGTTAGGAAATGAAGAAGGGAGCAGAAATTCTTGAAATAGACAAAATATATACAATTGAGGATCAAAATCAAAATCTGGAAATAGATACAACTCTAGAAAGAGTGATCAAGTTAAAAAAAAGTAAGGCTTAATATCAGAAATAAAAAGGGGTCATATTTCAGATACAGCAGAGATTTGTAAAAATAGAACGTTAAGAAATACTTGATGCTAATATATGTTAAAATGAACAGAATGACATTTCCTAAAAAATTATATAATTTGTCTAAACTGACTCATGGAAAAAAACAGAAAACCTGAACAAATCTATAATTATTAAATCACTAGTCAAAAGTCTACTTATCAAAACTGTCCACAGGGCTGGAAGATTTTACAGGTGAGATCTACCAATCAGTTAACAGTTAATCCCTACCTTACACAAAGTGTTCCAAAGAAAAATAAGAACTTATTTCCACTTCAATTATGAAGCTAACAGAACCTTGATATGAAAACCAGGCAGAGAAAGTACAGAAAAGAACATTTATGGGCCAATTTCACTTTTGAACATAGATGCAAAAGTCTAAATAAAATGCTGGCAAACTTAAGCCAGGAACACATAATAGATAATAAAACATCATAATTTAATTTAGGTTTAATCCCAGGAGATCAAGGATGGTTTACAATAAGAAGGTCTATTAATATATTTCACCACATGAACGGATTAAAGAAGAAAATCACAGAGGCAAAAAAAGCACTTAAAAGAGTTAAACACCCATCCATGATTAAAACAGAAACCTTAGCAACTAGGAACCCAGGGGATCTTCTTTACCTGATATCAGGTACCTATAAGAAAATGCTTAAAGTCCATAAAGTTGTGAAATAATTTTCCTTAAAATCAGAAACAAAACAAAGATGCCCAATTGTACTTAACATTGTACTGGAGGGCCTAGCCAGTACAAAAATAATTGAAAATAATCAAGATTTCAGAGGAAAAGACAAATGGCAAATGTGCCTGTAGATGGGACATTCTTGCACACACAGAGGTCTTGAGAAGTGGTTGAAGAGTTCAATACCTTCTGACAAGTCTAGAATTCCAGGTTACCTAGATTTTTAGAAGCCCAGAGTTTTCTTATATTTGTGTTTTTTGCTGTCTTTAAAATCCATAGTGGTATTTGTCTAAATAGATGCTTTACCGTTGTCTGATTTTTTTACTTTGTACTCAGCCCTTTTATAACCTGAACTTTCTAGGTTGATCAAGGATTCAAATTTAGTTTGACCTCCTGTGTGGTAATCATACTTCCCGCTCTGCATCCAGACAAGAAGGTTGAGCATACCCCTGAAGATTCCTTTAGGACCTCCCATCTCCCCGCTGCTCTGAGGAAGGTATGTAAACAGTACTGAGCTTTGCCCTAGTGGAAGACACACTACTGCTCTCTCCAGGAAACCTTTTTATTCTTTACCATTTTCAGTGTCTTTTTACAAGCTGCTCTCAAAAACAATACTAAGTCTTTAATAAAATCCCATCACAGTATCTGGTAGGGAGTTGTATTTAATTTTCTTCTCCCTTGATTCTTTAAATGCTTGCTCTTGTGGTTTTTCTAAGTATTTTTGTATGAGTCACTCTGAGCAACTGACTGGGAATGTAAGAAGAATGGCTTTTTTTTTTTTTTTTTGATTTACTGTGTGATTGACCCTGGGCCAGTCATTGAACCTAATCAAGGAACTTCATTCATTGCTAAATAAAGATAAAAGGCTTTGAGAGATGGGTTAAAATTAGATCCTGCCACCTAGTGACTCAGTCTCTTAATAACTGACTCATAGAAATTAATTAGCTTGTTCCTATAACAATTCCATTTGGAAAAGATCTCCTTTATTATTTTTGCCTAGTTGTAGCCTTTTTACATCTCTCTATCCAATTCTCAGTTGCCTCCCCATTTGTTTACTTAACTTTACTGCTTAGTTTCAGTGAACAACCATGGCACTCCATGATAATCAGCCCAAAATTCAGGGCTAATTTTGTGATCTTAAGAAAGTCTCTGAGCTACATTTCTAATTTAGGAAATGATAACCACAGTACTCTATCTTTTACCTCACAGACAACTGTTACAAAAACCAGGCAATGAAAGTAGAGAGTGCTTTGAAAAACTGTAAAGAACAATATATTTATATTCACATTAACTGAATAATTCTATTCACCAATGCAAGAATTGAGTCATAATACACAGGAGAAGGTCTTAAGTGATATTCATCCATGCTAGACAGAGACTATTAAAAATTATAGCTGAGTAATTTATCTATAAGTATGTAAACAATAAATTCAGGACAAGGAAGACCTTAAAGTAACAAAATGTAATTTAAGAATGGAAGCAGCATGACATGGGTGCCTGCTGGAAAAGCAGGAAATAAATTAATTAATACTTGAAGATCCTCCTTATTCTAAGTTTAAATCTTTTGAATCCACAACCTATGGTAAAAGCTAAAAATACAAAATAAACAAAAGGAAAACTGAAGAGTTGACAAATTTCAAGGTGGGAGCAAAAGAAATCTTGCAAATATGGTCTCTGGGTCATGTAGAAATTCAAGGAAAGACAATGTGAAGACAAAAGTTGCTTCATTTCCTTACCTTTGTTCGGTATTAAAGAGTGCAAAGATGTGCTTGCTAGACATAAAGCTTTTTTCCACATCCCGAACTTTCAGGTTGTCCAAGGGAAGCATATACTTTTTTTCTTTTTCCTAGAGAGAGAGAGAGAGTGAGAGAGAGAAAGAAAGAGAAAGAGAGAGAGAATTGGCTTTAATAAAAGATCTCGAAGCATGCCCATAGCAACACATCACCTGAGTTGGTCAACATTTAATTAGAATATTTTGATACCATCACACACTACTTTGATACCAGCTACCAAGGAACAAAAATTATCTGAGATAGGAGACTCCAGTGTTTCTCAACACGTGGGTCAGAAGAATGAGGGGATGGAAAGTGCAGAGGAAGGAAGGGCTCAGGGATGGAGAAAACACATGGTCCTCTATCCTTTCTTCCTCATGTGGGTCCCCTTAGATGTTTTAAAATGTTAGTTTGATATTAAAAATTTAGCCATCTGTTAATATTTAACAAAAATGTTCTGGTCCTAATTCAATGAGAAATGCCAGATGGATTTCATTTCATATTTTATTTGCAGCCTAAGCAGTTTTGATAGCCAGAGCTGGCAAGAGCCTGGAAGCACAAGGACCCTAGTATGAAATACCACCTATAAACTATGATAAAGCACAGAAAATACTTCCTTCCTTTGAGTCTAGAATAAGATGTGGGTCCAGAAAGAAATGATTCCATTAAATTGTCAAACACTTTGAGAAAAAAAGAACCCATTAGAAGTGAACTAATATTAACTAGAACAAATTCTCTTAAAATTAACAACACTTTAGGAAGAAAATGCACATTTGAGAGGGGAGGTCTGCAAATGGGACCAAACTAATCTTGGTAAAACAAAACATATTGGTTGCCAAAGAATTATTAGAAACATTTACTTTTAAGGACTGGCCCAGGGACAATATTATCATATGCATAAATGCCTAACAACCAGTATAATAGTAGAGAGCTGAATACTCAGTTTAAGAAATCTAGTCGATATCTATTACCTGGGGCACTTTTGCACAGTCCTTGTTAAACAGTAATCCTCTGTATATCTCGGGTGAGAGTCCTGAGAAAAACCAGGCCTAGACTCCAGAGGAGGAGAGCATGGAGATCTAGCCATGACTTTTAATAAACAACTATTAATGCCTGTGGGAAATACATGTATCATACAGATATGCTTGACATAAGCCTTTTTGTTCCTGAAGCTCCTCCAGCTCTTGCTTGAGAATTGGTCTAGGCTCAGTAGTGTGGGGCAGAACTCTTCCATGCTCCCTAGCCTGCTTGTGGGGACCACACTCTCTGCAGACATCAGAGAGTGTTATTGCAAGAACTATCACTGGCTTTGCCACTTCTCACTCCTAAATTAATCAGGGAAAGTTGGGCAGAGCACTTTAGAATAGTGAGGCAGAGAGAAATAGATGACTCAAGAAGTTGAAGGAAGCTGGTTGGAGAACAAAATGGCTGTCCTGGCAGACAAGGTCTTCAAAGAAGATAGCAAAACAAAACAAAACAAAAACATAAAAGAAACTGAATGGCAGTGAGAGAAGCCCAAGAATAAACATGAAAAAGCAAAGCACTGTAAGAAGATTCCAATGTTTCTTGTACAAAAAATAACAGTATATTAGCAAACACAAGGATATTCTAAATAGCAAAATACATAATTTACATAAATGAAGCATTATAGTTGGGTCTAACTTGTTTGAAAGACTTGTCAGACTATTTTAGGATAGCATTCTAAGAGGCAAGATCACAGACTGAATGAAAAGCTACCCAATACATAATCAAATGAAAATGTTTGAGACGCAGGGAACATTTTTTTTACTGGTTGTTTTTCAATGCCCTAAATTTAAGCAGCTGGATTTTTTTAATGCATCATCCTATTCAACCTTTTGAAATGATGGATTCGCCTTTAATGGAAAATCTGCATTTCATTGTAAAGATGGAATACAATGTCCTTGGCATGTTTTCTATAGAAGTAGGCGCCCTTTTGTACTGCATTCTTTAGCATATAGTGAAGACCAGAACTCCAGCAAGTTTACATCAGATATTAAACACTGGAGAAATACACACATATGCAGACAGAGAAATATTAAAAATGTAGTTTCAGTTCCAAAGGACTAAATGTCATTTATCTAAGAGTTCTGAGGACATATTGCTAAATTATTTCATAATCAAGAGTTATTTTTATTTTTTTATTTTCCCAGTTTTATTGAGATGTAACTGACATATAACATTGTGTACCTTTAAGGTACACAACATGTTGATTTGATAAACATATATTGCAAAATGATTACTACCATAGCTTTAGCCAATGCCTTCATCATCTCACATAATTACCATTTTTTTTTGTGGTGGGAATATATGAGATCTACTGTCTTAGCATCTTTCAAGTTAAGAATACAGTATTATTAACTGTAATCACCAGGCTGCACATTAGATTGCTAGAACTTATTTGTCTTGTAAGTGGAAGTTTGTGCCCTCTGACCAATGTCTCCCTATTTTTTCCACACCCCCAACCCCTGGTAACCACCATTCTACTCTCCGTTTCTGAGTTTCGCTCTTTAAGATTATACAAATAAGTGATATCCTATATTATTTTCTCTTACTCTGACTTATTTCACTTAGCATAATGCCCTTAAAGTCCATCCATATTGTTGCAAATGGCAGGATTTCCTTATTTCTCATGGTTGAATAATATTCCATTGCCTGTGTATACCATATGGGTTTTATCCATACACCCATCAGCTGTCACTTAGGTTGTTTCCGTATCTTGGCTATTGTGAATAATGCTGCAATAAATATGGGAGTGCAGCTATCTCTTCAAGATTCTGTTTTCATTTCTTTGGATATATACCCGGAAGTGGGATTGCTGGATCATAAGGTAGTTCTATTTTTAATTTCTTAAGGAACCTCCATACTATTTTCCATAATTTATATTCCCATTAATAGTACATAAGTGTTCCTTTTCTCCACATTCTTGCCAACACTTGTTATCATGTCTTCTTGATGACAGCCATTCTAACAGGTGTGAGGTGATATCTCCTTGTGGTTTTGATTTGCATTTCCCTGATAATTAATGATGTTGAACACCTTTTCATGTACTTGTTGGCCATCTGTATGTCTTATTTGGAAAAATGTCTGTACACTACTGTATTTTTTTTAACATCTTTATTGGAGTATAATTGGAGTTTATATATCCAATTTATTGGAGTATAATTTACAACGGTGTGTTAGTTTCTGCTTTATAACAAAGTGAATCAGCTATACATATACATATATCCCCATATCTCCTCCCTCTTGCGTCTCCCTCCCACCCTCCCTATCTCACCCCTCTAGGTGGTCACAAAGCACTGAGCTGATCTCCCTGTGCTATGCAGCTGCTTCCCACTGGAAGAGTTTTAAGACTGACAAAACTAGAAGAAAAAGAAGATTCAGACTGATTTGTTTAATTAAAGTTATAAGTCAAATGGAGAATTAAATGAGAGAGCAATGAAATGACATATTGTGGATATTTCTAAAATTCTTGGTGCTTTTGGGAAAGTATGACATTCTGCTAAAAGGACATCTTGAATATGAAATAGCTAAAATAAAAGAAATAGAGGAGGAGAAAGGAAAAACAGAATTATAATTTCCAAAATATAGTGAATCTTAGCACCAGCTTAATTGAGACATTTGCTACATATTCTTTTTAACTCCATTAAACTGCCTAAACATAATGCAGTGGTCAATATGGTAGCCTCTAGCTAAGGGGACTACCAAGTATTTGAAATGTAGCTAGTCAAATTGGGATGTGCTTTAAGTGTTAACCTCAAACCAGATTTCAAAGATTTAGTATGAAAAAAAGAATGCAAACTATATCATTAATACTTTCATATGGATTATATGTTGAAATGATAATACTTTGAATATATTGGGGTAAATAAAGTATTATTAAACATAATTTCATCTGTTTATTTTTACTGTTTTGAATGTGGCTGCTAGACAATCTTAAATGGCATATGTGACTCACATTAACTTTCTATTGACAGTGATGAGCCCATGTACCTATCATCATTTTCCTTCCTCTCATCCATTCAATTTTCCTCTTGAAAATTGATAAATACACCTTTCTGCCATCAGGTGTATTTATCATTCTTCCAGTCACCCAGTCTGAAACTCACTATCATTTATGATGTATTGTCTTCCTTCACCTCCTTTATTACATCAAGACTACGCTGCATTGTGTTTGAAGCATTTGTCACAGCCCCATTGTTTGACATTCCCACTACATTAATCCAGGTCCTTGGCATCTCACAAGCATGAATTATAAATGGCCTCCTTTCTAGTCTTCTAATCCCTCTAACATCACCAGGGAGGGCAATTTTCTTAAACCACCCTGTCAAATTCATTATAGTCCTTCAAAACGTTCATAGCTCTCCATTACTTATGGAAGAAATTCCATGAAACTCCTTAATGTGAAATTGAAAAACACCTACAAATTGGTCCGATCCTTATTTGTCAATATCTCCTTTATTATTCCATAGGAAGTCTCCATTTCAACCAAATACACATTTGCCAACAGTCTTTTCCCAGCTTGAGACACCCTGTCAACTTCTCCCTATCATACCAGTTCACTATTTAGAGTCCAGCTCAAGTTTCTATATTCCGTGCAAAAAGTTTTCCCAGGTTTTTAATTGTCTGTCTCTTTGTGTCACTTCCCCATCTCTCTCCTTTCAATTCATACAATAGGTATTGCTTATTCTATTAATTTTTAAATTATAGGCATACCTTGGAGATATTACAGGTTTAGTTCCAGACCACCGCAATAAAGCAAATATCACAATAAAGCAAGTCAAATGATTTTTTTTGGTTTCCCAATGCTATAAAAGTTATGTTTACACTATATGGTAGTCTATTAAATGTAGAATAGCATTATGTCTAAAAAAACAACGTACTTACCTTAATTTAAAAGTACTGTGTTGCTTAAAAACAGTAACCATCATCTGACAAGGTAGGGTTGTTATAAAACTTCAATTTGTAAAAAAACACATTATCTGAGAAGAGCAATAAAGTGAAGCACAATAAAATGAGGTAATGCCTGTATACCTTATATGAGACACCCTCATCT